AAAAAAACTGCAGCCATGAGTAAAGGAGAAGGGGCTAACCTGACTTAGCCACTTGGCCTGTTTTGTGGAGCTTTCTGCAGCTCTTCCAAGCTTCTTGTGCCATTGTTTTAGGTCATCAGTTCTAAGTAGCAGAAACCCAGTTCATCTTAGTTTAGGAAAAATAATAGAATGTATTGTCTCATTTACTAAAAGTCCAAGGATGCCTTCAGGTACAGCTAGATCTAGGTGCTTACACATCATTGGCACATCTCAGTGATGGCTTCATCCTCAGGCAAATACTTCTCAAGTCCCGACAGTTCCGGGCTGACATTCCACCAACTTAGCAGAAAGAGAACACCTTTTCTTTCTTGTACAGTGCTCTATCCACACTGAAAAGTGGGATAAACCTGGCGCAGAAACATATACTAGCTTTTTCTGTAGCCCCAGCTGTCCCTCTAAGCATGTCCCTGCGCCCTACCATGACGTGTAAGGACACAGAATCCTTGAGGCCTGAGGCAGCTGCCCCCAGTCCACAACTGGTGAGTCAGAGCCAGAGTCAGCAGCCAGGTCTTCATACTCCCAGGTCAGCATGGTGGCTGAGGTGCAGCCAGTTGCCCCAAATCATGTGATTTTAGTGTTTCACTCTGGATTCATAGCTCAGTGCGTGCATTTGAACTTCAGTCTTGGTCTGAACTGAAGTAGAAAGGACACTGTCATGAAACAGTGCCGTGAAACACTGGAAGGGACCCCGTGGACAAATCTGATTGAGAAACAGTGCCTCCATGGTCCACATTTTGGGGATTCTTAATGCACTTTTTCTCAAGGTTCTGAGAAATTCTGCAGTACAGAAATCCCTTGAATGATTTCAGCCAGCTTCCTCATCTTATTTGTGATTGGAGCCCCTTTCACCCCTTTCTTCCATGGGAAACTGTTCTTCTTTCTCAAGCTCTTAGCCATCTAGCCTTATGGGAGGCAGCAGGGCTGGGACCAGCGCCTGTGCACCCAGCTCACAGACTCGGGCCGTGTGATAGGTACACCCGGAAAGACTGGATCTCTTCTCTGAAGACCTGAAAACTCAGAACCGGCAGATGATTGTACTAAAGCGTGAAATGGTAGGGGTCCCTGACCCTGTCCTCCCTCCCTGGGGTCTGGGGCGGGCTGAGGAGGGCAGAAGACCATGGTCTGGAAAGGTTTTTTGGTGAATGTGCTGAGGGTGATGAGCCCCTGAGAGCATCGCATCCCCTGTTCTCCACCCCACTCCACAGATGTCTCTCCAAAAAAAGGTCCATGCCATCCCCAGCACGGAGGATGTGGTGCTCTGGAGTGGCCTCCACGAGGCCATGTTCACCCCAGTGAGTAAAGGAGGAGGAGCCGGGTCAAGCACGTGGGGAGCTGGCCAGCCTCATCAGGCCCTTCCTCCTCAGGGGGCTGCTCCGCTGGAGCTGGAGCTGTCCAACGCGTGGCAGACCACAGAGCCACTCCCACAGGCTGCCATTGCGCAGACCCAGAACCTGGAAGAGGTTGGTCACACCCATGTTGTTGAGCCTGTCCAGGGTCCCAGGCTCCTACAAGCTGCCTGGCACTCTGATGTCCAGGTACCCCTACCAGACCAGGAATCTGGCCAGGCACTTCCATTTGGCAGTGCCAATGGGCCAGGCCAGCCTCAGACCCTCATCGCTGGGCCTGGGCCTGCCGCTGGGCCTGGGCCTGCCTCTGGACCTGAGCCTGCCGCTGGACCTGAGCCTGCCGCTGGACCTGGGCCTGCCGCTGGACCTGCAACTGCACCGGGACCGGAGTCCCAGTCCATGGCTACACTAGGGCCCCCTGTGATGCCTGGGTTCACACCAGCACCTTTGGTTACCTTTGGACCTGGGACTGGCGCTTTGCCTTTCTGGCCCAAAGGTTTATTGCAGCCTAGCACAAGTCCATCCGGCGCCCTGCAGTCCTTTCAGCCCCAGCCCTCCAGGGCGCCACCCTCAGCTCAGGAGTTCGGATCAGCATGGCCTTCTTCACTGCAGCCTTTTCAGTTTTTCAAGGGAGAGGCCCACCAGCTCCCCATGATCGAAGAAAAGGGGGAAAAATATTATGCCCAGTATGTGAAACACATTCAGGAAGGATCCCCCAAGGATGGGGCACCCAAAGAGAGGGCCTCCCCTGATGGAATCCCCAAGGATTGGATCCCCAGGGACAGGGCCCTGGAAGTACGGCCCAAGGGCCCCAAGTCTGCCCTGAATCGGCTGAAAAACGCGGTTGCTACTGCCACTGCTGCTGCCGCCGCCTACGCAGCTGCCGCCACCTCAGCAGCCCGGACAGCCAGGGCCGCTGCAAAGGCGCTAGAGGACACCCCTGCCACCAAAATGGCTACTGAGGCAACCACTACAGCAGCATCCGGGCCCTTAGGGGTCTTTGCAGATGTCCTAGGGGCAGGGTCTTCACGTGGAGCTCTAGACTTCACAACCTCTGGTGAGAAGCAGGAAGACTTGGTGACAGAGTACGAAACATTCTCTCCCCCGCACACCCTGGACCTTGGCATTCGCGAGTCAGCGCTGTCCCAGGGGATGCTGGCTGCCACCCAGGCCGTCAGCCCTGAAGACAAGAAGAAAGCCGTCAAGTGCTCCATGAGCCACATAGCCCAGATGCCCATGAGACACGACAACCTGAAAGAGGAGTTCGCCCAGCTGTCATCTGATTTGATGCAGCGCTTCAATTATCTGGGTAAGTGGGAAAGGCAGCAGGGGACTTCGGCCCACCGTGCAGCTTGCCTTTTTTGTTTGGCTCTGCCAACAAAATTGACATTCATTCATTCCTTTGGTTTAAACACTAGCTTCTTACTCGTTTATTCTTCCTTTTTAAAAAATTGTGGTAGAAGTACTAGGGATTGAGTCTAGTCCATGGTGTGCTGAGCTGCATCCCAACCATTTTTTTTTCCCCTTTGAGACAGGATCTTGCTAAATTGGCTAGGCCAGCCTCAAATTTGGTGTCCTTCTGCCTCAGCCTCCTGAGTTGCTGCGATTACAGGCATGTGCTACCATGCCCAGCACTTGTCTATTTCACTGTGAATGTACAGTGAGATCTTATCTTAGGAAAAGATCTGAAGTTGGCACTTAAGGAGGAAAATTTCCTGTGAAAATTACTCTTGAAAACTCCTTTTCAAGATAGGTGCAGTGGCACATACTTATAATGCCAGCTGCTCAGGAGGAGGCTGAGGCAAGAGGATTGCAAGTTTGAGGCCAGCCTGGACACCTGAGAGAGAACTTGTCTCAAACTGAAATGAAAATAGCTGAGGATATAGCTCAGTAATATAGTGCATGCCATGCACAAGGATCTGGATTCAGTCCTAATACCAAAGGAAAAAGAAAAAGAAAATTCCTCTTCGGTTGCTCATAAAATAGTCTTATACAGCATGTTGGTAAGTGTGATTTGGCCAGAGTGTGACCACTGAGCAAAATCCAAACAGGTCAGCTTGTAATTACAAGCAAGTACAAGGCACAAATACACCTCCTGAGAGACCACAGTTCCCTCCTGTCGGCCAGCTCATGGTGGGCACTCACACCTTACAAATGGAGAGCAGTCTGGGCATGGTGACACATGCCTGTGATCCCAGCACCCGGGAGGCTAAACCAGGAGGACTGCCTTGGGTGAGAGGCCAGCCTGGGCTACATAGGGAATGCAAAGCCAGCCTGAACCACATAGTGAGACTCTAGTACTCATAAAACAAAACAAAACGAAATGAAATGAAACAGAAAGAAAAAGATGATCCATCCTCAACCTCGTGCCAACTCAGTGTCCTTTGGAGGGCTCTAATGGGCAGACAGCTGGGTTCCAGATGGCTGGGTTCCACTCCCACAGCTCTGACTCAGTTGATCTGAGCAGGTCCCAAGAATTTCCATTTATCTTTTTTTTCCCTTTTCAGTTCTGGGGATTGAACCCAAGGTTTCACACATGCTAGGCAAGAACTCTACCACTGAGCTGCACTCCCAGCCCCAAAGATTTACATTTCTAACCTGATCCCAGGCGATGATGATGCTCAGGCTATGAACCCGCTTTGAGATCCACTGTCTTATACTCTTTTGAGTCATCATGTTGGTTTTTAGTTCTCTGAGAATTACAATAGCTGAATTCACCAAAGTCACAAACCTAGTATGCCTTCTCCTGGTAGGCAGTGCTATTCCACAAATCTAGGGGAGAAAAAAAGAATGAAACACATAGCTAAAAAGCTGGGTGTGGTGGTGCACACCTGTAATCTCAGCACTCAGGAGGCTGAAGCAGAAGAATCGCGAGCCTCAGCTACATAATGAATTCAAGGCCAGCCTGAACTACACAGGAGGATTGCCTCGCCAGCCTGGGCTACACAGTGAATTCACAGCCAGCCTGAACTAAAAATGAACAACCATGTTAATATCCTTAAATACAGATATAGCTATAATTAGGATAATAGTAAATTTAAATTTAAAATATGAAGCAATAACAGCCTAAATTCTATGTCTGACTAGCTGCTAGTTTTTATTAAGAAAACAAGACAGGGTTTAAACCTTGCTTTGGCTACAGTTTTTCTTACATTCTTGGTTGTGTTATTTATACGGGTTTTTTTTGCCTTGCCAGCTGTTCAGCTACAATTGATATAGGTCACTTTTTAAAAAAGTTACCTCCTCCCTTTCCTTTGCTAAATATACCCACTTTCAATCTTGAGGAGGGATAATACACTTCAGAGACTTTTATAACTAAGATACTTTAGGGCTGGGGTGTAGCTTAGTAGTAGAGTGCTTGTCTAGCATGTGAAGAGCCTGAATTGAATTCCCAATCTCTCTCTCTCTTTCTCCTCTCTCTCTCTCTCTCTCACACACACACACACATTAAAATAATATGCTTCACAGTTTTTGCTCAAGGTCATTTCTTGGTGTTGTATAGCAAGTTCTGGAGGAACTTCCTTAGGCCTCTGCTGTCTGACAGGGTCACCACAAGCTGTGTGTGATGTCGAGCACTGAAGTGTGGTCAGTCCAAATTCAGATGTGGCCTACATATGAAGTGCACACCAGACATGGGAAACTTACTTCAAAAATAAGAATACAACTTTTCATTCATTTTAGAGGGTGAAGCTCACTGGCAGAATGTTGACATAACACATAGGAGGAACTTGGTTCAATCTCCAGTACCAAACATTTTAAAAAATTATATGTTAAAGTGATACTACTTGGGGTATATTGGGTTAAGGAAAATATCTTATGAAAATTAATTCCACATATTTTTAAAAAAGCTTTTAGGGCCGGGGATATAGCTCAATGGTACAAGCACCTGCCTGGCAAGCGCAAGATCCAGAGTTCAATTCCCAGTACCAAAAAAAAAAAAAAGATTTTTAAAAATATGGCTACTAGGAAATCTAACATTACCTCCAAGGCCCTCAGGCTCTGTATTTCTGTGGGACAGTGCTGAATTAGCTGCATCCTGTTGGTGGCTGGAGGGCTAGCCATTCTTTCTTCATCCCTGCCTGACATCCACTCCCCTCTTTGCTTTCAGTTGACATGGCAGGTGCCTCCAGGCTTGGAATGGCGGTGGACCAATTGGAGGGAAAGATGAACAACCTTGAGAAATCCAGGCTAAAGGTCAGTGTCCTTGGCAGAGAGGAGTTTTTGAGAAGACGATGGCTTGCAGGGGGCTGACCCCCATACCCCACAACCCTGTGGAGACAGCATGTATCCTGTAGCCGAGAGGAAGACGAGGGAAGTGAGCCGGGCAGGCTGAGAAAGATGGGGCTGGCACAGAGCCCCGGAGGGTGGGTGACTGTGTGATTCCCTCTAATGGGCGTCTCTAGTAGCTGTTAAGGTGGTGGGTTGGAGTGCACAAGTCTGGCACCTTCTTCTGCACCTTAGGCCCCTCTAACCATGCCAGCCTCAGAAGCGGAGGCCTCAGGTGACTGTGTCCTTTCCCTGTAGGAGGAAGAACTTGAGAGAGTTTGGGGCACCCAGTTAGAAGCAATGAAGAATCGCTACATAGTGCTGGACAGGGCGGTGGAGAAGATCCAGACTCGCATGGATGACTTAAAGGTTTGCAGCCCTGGGGGTTGGGAGGGGGCAGGAAGGCGGGAGGCTCTTTGTCAGGACTGCAGACCCTCTGCAAAGGCTTCCAGAATGGGGTGGGGGTTTCACTGACAGTTGGGGAACCAGAGGATGCTTTCCTTTGTGTAAATTACACTTCAATTAAAAGCAAGTTCTACACATACACAAAAGGGGCTGGACAATCCAAGCATTCTTGGATGCTGAGTCAGAATTGAAATTTTGAGCCCAACCCGGGCAACTTAGTGACTTAGCAAGACCCTGTCTCAAAATAAAAAAGGGCTGGGGATGTAGTTCAGTATGAAGGCCCTGGGTTCAATCCCCAGTATCACAATTAAAACAAAAGGGGAAGGCAGCTAGACAATGTCCACCTGGTGGCTTCTGCATCACCCAACCCTAGAAAGGGCAGAGCAAGTGCTCAGAACATTTGCTGAATGAACCGATGGATAAATAAGAAGATTTTTTTTGTACTATCAGTTATGTTTATAACATTTGCCCTAAACAGCCTCATTTGAGGGAAGAGGGCCCTTCCCTGACTTCTGAGCCCTGCAGGGCTGTCTAGAGCTGCAGAGCTGCTTGTATGATAAATGTGAAAGTGGATGCAGAGCACCTACCCAGGACCCACGCAACCAGATACCTCCTCCGTGGACCAGAGGTCCTGAAACATCTACTGACTTGGCTAGAGGAATCCTCAGGACCTACCTAGTCCAATCTGTATCTTGTCCCAGAGGGGTTCCAGACTTCTGGGGAGAGGATCAAGAGTGGTCCCATGAGGAAGGGAATGACCTTTCCTCAACGCACAGAGATAAGCAGAACTAAGCTTTTTACCATAGGTTCTTTTATGGTTGGTCTTGCTATATTGTCCAGGTTGACCTCAAATTTGTAATCCTTCAGCCTCAGCCTCATGAGTAGCTGGAGTCAAGGTGCGCACCCACACCTGAGTGCGTGGTGGGTTCTGATCCCAGATCAAATGGCTGTTGGCAGGATGTATCCAGACGTGAAGGCAAAAGGAGAGGACTGAGGCAAGCCTGTGGCATTTTCCTCCCTCTTGAGGTCATACAGTGTAATCAGGCTGGGACACACAGGGTAATTTTAAAGGGAAGCAAACTCTTAAAGGAAGAACCAATTTGTAGGCTATGTGGTGGGCATGGGGGGAACAGTTTGCTTTCTTTGGCGGGGGGGGGCGCATATGGGGATGGGGGATACACAGGGCGGTATGCTCAGACCTTGTGGGCATCATCAATCAGGATCCACACTGTCCCCTCCCAAGTCAGGGCTCTACCTCCAAATAATTGTTACTATAAAGCATCTCAAGTACAGTCAGGCACAGTGGCACATGCATATAATCCAAGTACTCTGGGAGGTTGAGGCAGAAAAATCTCAAGTTGGAGCCTAGCCTTAGCCACACTGAGACCCTGTCTCTAAATAAAAAACTTAAGTCTGGAGATGCAGCTCAGTGTGAAGGCCGAGGGTTTAATTCCAGTGCTGGCCCAACATGGTGGCACATGCCTGTAATCCCAGCACTTGAGGCCGAAGCAGGAGGATCATTGTGAGTTTAAGGCCAGCTGGACTACATAGTGAGATCCTGTCTCAAAAACAACAACAATAACAAAAATCCCAGTGCTGGCAAATAACAAGATTGAATTGCTTGTAAAAGTTAACCCTACCAGGCATGGCGGCACATACCTATAATCTCAGCACTCTGGGAGGTTGAAGCAGGAGGATCACAAGTTTGAGTCCAGCCTGGGCAACTTAGTAAGACCCTGTTGCAAAATGAAAACTAAGCTTTGAAAGGGCTGTGGATGTAACTTGGTGGTAGAGTGCTTCACTAGAACAAGTTCAATCTCCGGTACCTCAGAAAAGAAAAAAATCCTGAAAGAACTTGAAAAGGGGCTTTGTACACAAACATAATTCATTAAATATTCATTAAATGAGTTGAATGAACGTATGCTGCAAGATGAGCACTCTGATCTCTAGTAGAGCCCCAAAGGTGGCTGTGGTTCTGCAGAAGCATCTGGATCCGTGACAAAGTACCACTGCTGTTGTCTTACCTTGGTGTCTATGTGGAAATGTGAGGAACATAACAGGTGTTGCAAGAAATCCTCCCAGTTACCCATCCACCCATTTAGCAATGTTACTAAGTATTCACTCTGCAGCAGTCACTCTCTAGAGACTGGTAATACAGCCACTAACAGCACAGACACCAGGCAGGTCCTTCAGTTTGTGTGTGGGGTGGTGGCAGGATCTGTTTGCTTTCAGCTGAACTATGATTTACAAGCAATAAACACCTACAGCTGAAATATAAGAGCTCAGTTAATTCTTACCTACTTGTATTCATATGACCACCATCCAATCAAGATGAGACAGTTCCATTGCCTTAGAAAATTAAAAAAAAAATTCAACCACGGTGGCTCACACCCATAATCCCAGCACTTGGGAGGCTGAGCCAGGAGGATTGGCACAAGTTCAAGGCCAGCCTGGGCTACACAGTGAGTTCAGAGCCACACATAGTGAGACCCTGTCTCAAAACAACAACAACAACAACAACAACAAACCACTTTTTTTTTTTTCCCTTTTCCAGGAAATATCACTGTGCAGAGGTGATATTCTGTTTTGTCACTGTTCTGTCTTCTCTCACCCTAGATTAATGTTGCCTGTTTTGAGCTCACATAAATAGGATTATACAATGTGTGCTTCATTATGACTGTCCTCTGCTGGAATGTGTGGAGAGGTTGTTTTTGTAGAGGAAAGACCTTTATAAACCACTCGGAGTAGAAAGATGAGACCTTATAGCCGGAGCACAAGTTACTAAGAGAGTGCTGGCTCAGAGCAGGTAGATATCCATATAAAAAAGAATGAACCTTGAGTTCTACTGCAGTCCATACCTAAGATTACTAAAGATGGAGACAAACATAAATGTTAGTGCTAAAACTATAATGCTTCTAGAGGAACACAGAAGAGCGTCTTTGTAAACTTGGGTTAGGTGAGATTTCTTAGGACACAAATATTGAGCTCTAGTTAATGGTGCATGCTAAATATTTAAGGTGAACTTTACTAGTGTCAAATACACACTAAAATGCATTTTTTAAAGGATCAGGAGATGGAGAAAAAGATAGAAAATAGACGTATAACAAGGCAATGGGCCGGGGATATAGCTCAGTGGCACAAGTGCTTGCCTGGCAAGCGCAAGGTCCTGAGTTCGATTCCCGGTACCAAAAAACAAAACAAAACAAAACAAACAAACAAAAAAAAACAAGGCAAATACAGGGAAATGTTAACTGTAATAAGCAAAGATGAACATTCACTGTATAGCTATTTCAGTTTTTCTGTGCATTTGAAAGTTTACATAGTAAAATGTTGAGAGAGTCTTAGGAAGATACTATTAAAAGAATAAAAATACATGGGTTGGAGTATAGGTCATTGGCAGAGTGCTTGCCTAGCATGTATGAGGCCCTGAGTTCAATCCCCTATAGAGAGAGTTGGGGGAAGAGGAGGAAGAGGAGGAAGAGAAAGAGTAGGGGGAAATAAAAGAAATGCAATACCATAGGACTAAGGGAAAATATTCACAGTATATCTGACAAAGGACTGGCTTTAAAACCATAATAAAGCCAAGTGTGGCAGTGTATGTCTGTAATCCCAAGTACTCAGGAGACAGAGTCAGGAGGATCTTGAGTTCAAGTCCAGCTTGGGCAACACCCAGTCTCAAAAAAAGTGAAATTACTATGTCATATTCACAAGAATGGATAAAGCAAAATTCACGAACAATAAATGTTGACAAAGACATGGAGCAACTGGAACTCTTATTCATTGTTGGTACAAGTGAAAAAATAGCCCATTACTTTACAAACAGTTTGGTAGTTTTCGTAAGTGAACTACATACTAACTTTGTGATCCAGAGATTCCTTCCCTATGTATTTACTCAAAAGAAATGAAAGTTCCGGGTGTTCCAGGACTTGTATACAAATGTCCATAGCAGCAGCATTCACAATAACCAAAACACTAGGAACTAACCAAATGTCCATCAACAGAAAAATAGATGAAAAAACTATGGCACATCCATACAATGAAACATTACTGAGAAACCAACAGAAGTGAACAATCAATGTGTACAACACTGTGACTGAATCTCAAAAACATTATTGTGAAGCTGGAGGCAGTGGCGCACGTCTGTAATTTTACCTATTCAGGAGGCTGAGGCAGGAGGATTTTCAGTTCAAGTCTAGTTTGGGCAACTGAGTGAGACTGTGTCTCAAAATTTAAAAAAAAATTTAAGCTAGGGCTTTATCTCAGTAGTGGAGCATTTGCCTCACATGAACATGACCCTAGGTTCCATCCCCAATACCCCAACATAAACGCACACAAAAAGTTACATTGAGCAGAGGAAACCAGGCAGACAGTGGCAAATACGATTTATATCAAGTCCAAGAGCAGGCAAATCTGAGTTTTGGAGCTAGAAATTAGATCAGTGGTTGCCTCTAGACTTTTTTTTTTTTTAAGAGTAGGAATGTTCACATGCTTGTAATTGTAGTTATTCAGGAAGCTGAGGCAGGAGGATTGTAAGTTCTAGACCAGCCTGGGCAACTTAGAATGTTCCTGCCTCAAAATAAAATAAAAAATAAATAAAAAGGAGTGGGGTGCAGCTCAGTGGTAGAGTGCTTGTCTAGCATATGTGGGGCTTTGGGCTCAATCACTACTAGGAATGTCTTACCCACAATATTAAGGCTTCTGCCCTATGGGGCACAGTCCTTTTGCACACAACCACCTGGATTTGTGTTTGCTTTGGGGTTGGTCTTTGGGTGGGTCTGTACCCAGATAGTGAAAATCAGAAGCTACAAATGTAGCGAGGGACACTGGAGCCCCGGTGACCATAGAACCACAAAATTCCCCTAAACCCTGAGGAGGGCTTTGGACATCCCCTGGGCATGCGATGGGGGTGTGAACTGGGCTTATCTCCATTTCTAGAGTTGCACACACTTCTGAGGGTGTATTTC